CATAGTTTATGAATTACCCTCCAAATTCCATTAAATGCGGATTTGATCACTATCAACTTTTGCTGATATTGGCTCTAAAACACAAATTCAACAGGACTTACACCACTTGTTACTGACTTACACCACTTGTTACCGAGTTGTTCCTCCCACCACACGAACTCACTACTTTCATACCACCCTAACACTCACCCTCCTTGGATGTTGAGCTGCTACTACTACACCAAGGTAGGGAGAACTGTGAGAGCAAGACCCCTCTTAATTGTGTGTGTATTTAAATTCTTATACCTCCCCGGCTCCCCCTGGCTTAATAAATTATAACATGCACCACATTCATGTTATAAGATCCTAATTTCAATTCTTTTCTTGGTCATCAAAGGTTAAAATATTGACAATAAAGGCATGTGTCATCCAATATTGTCATCGACCCCATGTCTGGAGATGTTTTTTTTTGCAAGAGTATGGAGATGTTTTAGTCACCACACTACTACGAGATGGTAATTACCACAAATTATATGCAAACAAATATGCATAGTTAGTGTTGATATTATCATATCTACCTCAAATACACACAATCATTCTTGTCAGCTATGAGAAAATCATGCTCAGAGTGTGGCTAAAAAGTTACATATAGATTGAACTCTATCAAAATGCGAAACTCAAGGCAGATCGTGAAATTAAGTTGATCTCAAAGAGCGCTTATGAATTTCACTGCTCACTTGAAGTCATTGAACAGGACAATCAATCAACCTCAACATCGTAAAATAGGTTATTCAGTCAAAAAATTATGATGAGTTGTATGAATTATTGAAGGGGTTGGATGGTATTTATGCCCAACTAAAAACCTAGGTCTTTCACACTGGACTAATAACATCTCTCACAATAACCTATCATCTAGACTCACTACATAATCAATGTTACTATATATATTCTGATTGAAGAAATAAAATAGACACAATTTCCTTCCACACAGAAGTAAAGCGCGAGAAAAGTTTGATTCACTAACTTGTTTCCAAGGAAGAGTGTCGATACACCTATCGGGGGAAAATAAATCACATATATATTGCTTGTTTTGATAAGGATAAGAAACCACGAAAGTAAAACATGAATTGAAGAATAAAAAAATTGATGCTACAAATCTACGATATATAAGACTCCTAAGAGATGGTTACTACATTGAGAGTGGATATGTTAAACTGTTAGAGCGGACAAACTAGGGGGACTCGGGCTGCTTGCATCGACGATGAGAAATTTGCAATGCATGCGCTTTTGGCTACGTGACCATCTCCTATGACTTGCACAATTTATGAAGGACGAACTTGACGGTCATTGTCTTGCAACAATATGGGATGTAATTTCCATCTTCACAATTTTAGATAACCGAATATGGCGCCATCGAACATATTACTTGTGACGAAGATATTGACATCTTGGTTAGTTCTTCAGAACTATCTATGTGAATTCCTAATGGTGAAGTCGTTCTAGTTCACTTAATTTCTAGGGAAAATGAAAACTAATAATTCAACCTTTTAACAGTCTTCTTACAATAGTCCCACATTTTCTCTATTCAAGAATAATCCAACCTTTGCACCCCATCTTCATTCACTGGTCCCTGACCGGGTAATGACCTGCTATTCAAAGTTATTTTCTTATCTTTGCAAAATATTATCTTTGTGAATAGTGAGATTTAGGGTACAATGGTTTGCAAAGATAAGAAAATAACTTGGAATAGGAGGTCATCAACCGGTTAGGGACCAGTGAATGAAGATGAGGTGCAAAGGTTGAATTATTTATGAATAACGAAAAGGTGAGACTATTGTGAGAAGACCGCTAAAAGGTTGTATTATTAGTTTTCATTTTTCCTAATTTCTAGTATAGTTATGTCTGGTATGTTACGTCTTAAATGAGTTCTTTCTCGTCTGTTAGTTAAATGTAATTTATTATTTGTTAGACACCTCGCTCATGATTTTAAGTTTACTCACCCTTTTCCAATATATTTGTATGTTGCATGACTTGTCCCGCCAGGGAACCAATTAGAGGGGGGAAATGGTTTGATGGTTTCTATTTCGTCGAGCCTTTCAGGAACGGGGTACTACTAATGTTAGTGTGGTGGGATATGGAGATATGGCACAAACGCTTGAATCATGCCTCCAACAAACAGTTACATAATATTTCTAACACTCAAAGGGTTCAGAAGAAGTAATACATTTTATATTATTCTTGCATGCTGATATCATATGGGCTTCAAAAAGCTTAACAAACTGGTATCATAAGTTCATTGATGCTCTTTTTTCTATTGGCTTCCTACAATCTAGAACAGGCCATTTACTAAACATTTACTAAATTTACTATCTTTGTACTTCTTATGTTTCAGCACTTATTTATGTCGATGATGCCATTTAGTGGATGACAAGTTGAGCATAATTAAAATACTTGGGAACTCTTAAACTTGACCACTGGTATCAATTTTTCAACAAAATTTAGGATGACAAGTTGAGCATAAAATACTTGGGAACTCTTAATATTTCATAGGAATTGAATTAAACTACTCATGTTCTCATTAGAGGGTTTCATCCTCAGCCAATACATACATACATATATATATATATATATATATATACATACATATATATATATATATATATATATATATATATATATATATATATATATATATATATATATATATATATATATTGGCTATTCTTGGAGAAAGTTGATTAAAAGCTTCCCAACCATGCTTGTTTCACATTGATCGGAAATTGAAGCTTTGTAAAAAGGATGGAAGTCCCATAGTTGATGCCTTCTTTGTCAATCGGCTTACTTGACTTCAAAGTAGTCCACATCAAGCTACATAAAAATTATAACACTTGTGCTTTTCTAGTTAAAGAGAACTTCAAGACAAGAGATACTTCTTCCTTCTATATGTGATATTAAATTGAAAGGTTTTTGTAATATTAATGTTCCTTTTTCCGGTGCTCCATCTTCAAATATCACATAATTCTTGGTTCATCAACTACTTCTTAGAGAAAAAGAAAAATTGTGTTGTATCTTTTTCTTCGGTTGAAACTGAATACTGTGTCATGCACTCAAAGTGAGTGATGTTCTATGGTTACATCACCCAATCTTGGATTTAGTATGTATGAATCAAACGTATCAACTATACTTTGTGAAATTGAACAACTCATTATATCGCAATGAGTCGTGTGCTCCATGAACGTATGAAACACGTTGAGATGAATTGTTATTAGTTTTGTGAACGAGTCAGTAGTAGAGACATTTTGCCCTAGGCTTATCTCAACGTCCCATAAAGTAAGACATATTTTCAGTATAACTCTTTAGGTGGCACATTTTACATTTTGGATAAGTGAGTTGAGTGTTCGACACCTTCACACTATAACTTGAGTGGAATCTTACAGGTAATTACAATGACCGCTATGATATATATTTAAGCATTCTTAGTCTTACCAACGATGTTTATTTTAGGACACTTTCCATGCACGTGTTTTTCTTTCCTAGTCAATTTATTTTCTCTTGTCTATTTTTTCCCTCCAAAACTTTTACTTTTGTATAGGTTGCACATTGTGAATAGTAATTTATATCACATCTTTCACACAACAACAACATTCAAGTCGTCTTAGTCTTATAAGATTTTGGGGTCGGCTAACATGAATCGATACATGATATCGTAACCAAAAGAAAAGAAATATAAGAAAGATAAAAAAGATAATTTATGATAAAAAGGATAATATAAAAAGAGATGGATATACATAAAAATGATAGAATAAAAAGGATAAAAAGAATACACACACAAATATAAAGATAAAATGATTAAAAACCAAGAAAAAGAAGATGAGGGGGAAAAGATGATAACAGATCACTCCTCCATCCACTAATCCATAACAGAAAAGAAGCATATCACTTCTGACCCCTCTAATCCACGTTTGTTTGGATCTTCCTCTCCCTCTTTTTCCTGCCTCTTCTCCACACATCTCAACTCATCTGACAGGTGCATCACACGGTCTTCTACGCACATGACCAAACCACCGCAAGCGAGACTCCCACATCTTATTTTCAACATGTGTTACTCTCACCTTTTACCTGATTGTCTCATTCCTCATGCGATACTTTCAGGTATGTCCACACATCCAACGCAGCATGCGTGTGTATCTCTGTCACACTCATATTTTGAATGTGACATTGTTTCACTGTTTAACACTCTATGCAAATATAGTAATGCATGCCTAATTATTGTCCTATAAAATTTACCATTTGGTCTAGTCGACATACCTCACTATGTATTTAAGGCAAAAAAATTGAGACAAATTAACACATCACATAAATTATTATATTCATTTAACCTATCAATATACAGTTTCCTTATAAACTCTTATACTATTAGCTCTACAAATAAATACCAAGTGTGGTTATAAATTTGTCTTAATAAATTCTAATTTCAGTTTACGATTTAGGATTTTAAATTTTTTCAATCAATTTGTGATTTTTGAAATTTATGATTTATTTGTAATCCCTTTCATGTGTTTCTAGTTTTTGGAAAACAATTAGATTAATTGGTTATAATGAGTCAATACTTATTTTGAAAATAATATCACTCAATTTTTAGATAAATATTTTGGATACTTTTAATTCGTCTGGTTTAGTTTGTGTAGTCTGATCTAATTTGATATGATCTAATAGACTTATGGTTATGTATATTTTATTATTGTTTAAGTTTGGTTTAATGTGATATATTTAAATGTAATTTAGTGTGAAAATAATCCTACTAAAAACATTTTGGTTAGTGCATATTCACTCCTCCAATTTCATTTCAAACGCTTTCTTCATTTTTTGTCCCCAAGCCAGCAATTCAGCCCGGCATTTTCCTAATGTTTTTTTCTCTTCAATAAAAGGAATTTTATCAATTAGGAACTCGGAAGATTGATGAATTATCAATTCATCAAAATTAGCCTATGTATTGTCCTAAAAAGGAAGTATTATACTCGTTGAGAATTAACAATAAAGTGCAGAGAATTTTATTTACTTCACAAAATAGCAAGTTGAATTCTTCAACAATGCCATATTCAAATCAGAATATACATTAACACACATTCGTGATTATTCTGCAGCCGTGTAAAGCCTAATTTATGTTGTGACTCCATGATCTGCATATACATAGAGACCATGAAGCAAGATCAGCCTGGAGATTTACTTTGACTCCAAACCACACACAAAAAATGAGGAATTAATGTACTATACATTGGATCTGAATTTATTATATAGGCTATGAACAGAACTAAATCACCAAGCCTAAACTCGTTCGGGGAAGATGGAGCAAGGAGAGAACAGTTTCCCCTTGTCTTGGTAAGCTTTTGCAGCCCACAATAATGTCAGAATCACCAAACAGATGGAGAACAGCAGCGTGGATAACCATAGTCGCCGTGCTGCCTTCCTAAACGGCTTGCACTGGAACTGAACAATATCTGAGAATGCTTGTTTTACTTGGGAGCATTTTATAAGGCTCACCAAATCAGGATATATGTCTATCAGGTCTTGTAGTGATTCACTGTAAGCCCTGCATTCATCATATATTGCCTCAGGCAAGAATTTTCCTTCTCCTCGGCATTTCCTTGACGATTTGTAACACGTGTACCGCGAGAGGATCTTCATGATCAAGGAAACATAAATATTAACTGAATGCAATGAATTGTTGAAATGTACTCGGTGACGTTTTAGAATGGAACTACGAGTTGTAACAATTATCTAATCATTTTGCGTAATGATGTATAAAATGTAAGATACCATATGGTTGACCTAATGGTGGACCCGAACTGGTTTCGGTTCCAGATCATGGAATTTAAGGAACCATAACCGTGTCTGGATTTACCAAGTCTAGTCCCAGTTGGGTATAACTGTCATTCGGATCCAATTCATACTCACTTTAATTGTTACCCTATTTTATAATACATAAACAGAAGAAATATGGTCAGTCTGGACTTATTATGGAAGAACTACAACTCAACTCGATTGTGAACAGGTCCCAGTTATTGTTAAACCATTAAAACAGTTTGGTTTCGGGCTCGAAAACTCGCTAGTCCAATATGACCCATTTTCATAACCAAGACCAGGTCCACCTTAAGTTGTCTTATTTGGTGGAAGGTAAGTCTTAATAGTAATAAATCATGTTAAGCTCAAACGAGCAATTTGATACTTATAGATCATAACATGGTTCCATTTACTATACACTTACATTTGGTAAGTTTCCAACTGGTATAGAATCAGTTGGGCATTTATCAGGTGTGAAGGTGTAATTAGGTGCACCGGAGAACGGGTTACAAACTTCCTGAACTACCAAATCATCATTGGTTTCTGATGGTCGTGCCAAAGCTGGCAGCTCTGCGAGCTTCAAGTTAATCTGCACAATGAATGAACTGTAGCCGTTAGGTTGAAGATTTGTAAGTTCTAATCAGAGATAAACCATATGATAAACAAATTAAAGCACCTGAGACATGTAATTATGGATAGTGGAACCAATTTGAACCAACAAGGTGTTGGAAGTTGGGTATTTAGTACAAGGAACTACATATTGCAAACTGCTGTTTTGAGGATTCTGTTGAAAATCTTCCAAAGCATTGCATGTATCTTCTGCAAACCTGCATATTTTTCTCTAACAAAATAAGTTCAGAGGAGGGATATTACATCAAAGGGTTTAATTGATATGAAGAAGATTATAGGATGAGTAGAGAAGAGTAGTATAGGTTGGACTCACTTGTGAAAGAAAAAATTAATGCCTGTCAAAAACCAACTTAGACCTGTCAATATCCAGCAGCAAAAGAGTATGCTGAAAATGAGAAATTCAAAGGATAAGAATAAGTCGTTTTCATGGATAATATTTAATCAAGGTAAGATAACATTAAGATTCCTTTTAATAATAGGAGTTTACATTATGAGTCCGAGGGGCCACCGGAAGAAGAAAGAAACTGAGCCAAAGCAGCATTCCATTAGTCTAACCACATTTGATATGTCACATGTTGCTCAGAAGGAACTGGCTAAATAAATAAAGCTCTAGTAAAAGGATAGTAATACCACATTTCAAAACTATTATGTGTCTCAAGATCTTAGTTCAAAAGAAATGCATAATATATGCTAATATGATGCATAAGTTTCTAACCCATCCACATTAGGAAAAATTTGCAATAAAAAACCAAACTATAACATCACTTTCAGTATGTGATCTCATGCCTTACTATGATATTATATCAAAGCATGTTAAGATCAAATAAGCATATTATTTTCGGTTGCTTCATAAAGCTAGGAAGCATATCATGTGTAATTTATTTAGTGACACTATATACTTGAAACTAAGGGGAATCTAAAATTGTGATTTATAGCTATGCATCTCACCTAATGCAGCTACCAAAAATACCAAATTGGAAACCACAACAACAAGATTCGCCACATATCTGAAATAAAAAAGGAAAGAAGCTAAGAAACCGCCAGCTTACCAAAAGATATGACATACAAATTCAACAAAGGAAAAAGGAAAACACATAACAAAAATGGCAAACTCACAAAGTTACAACGGCTGTCTTTGTTGAGTGCCTGCTTGTATCTATAAATTGTTTAATCGAAACCGATTCTCTTCTCAGTGAATGTGTCGTCACGTTCAACATATGGATAGATTCCGAGTCAAGTGGGCTTAGAACCGTTTGGAAGGTTAGCAAGATATTTTTCGTCCTTTGCATGATCTGTTGAGCATCAGAACCAGCATCAAGCATGGTTTCAATAAGCTTTTTGGTTTTATGCATGCTGCCTTGGTTTGCTGCCACAACAAAGCTGCTTGCAACTCTACATTCCCAAAACAACATCAATCAAATTAGTTTGTAAACGGCTTAACATTCCTAATTTCCCATAAAATTGCGCCTTAAATCAATGCGTTCTTTTTTATCTTAGGGACCAATAAAAAACAAGTGTAATCATTCATTGCAATCAAATTAAGGACGAAAAAACAGATCATGCTCAACAAATCAATGGAGTGAGAATGTTTTTACATGGACGGTTTTCAATCCCAAACTGACCAGATCAGACCAGACCTGGATAGTTATAAAATACACAAAAAATAGACTTCTACCAGACCAGAAAATTTCACTCCAACTAAAAATATTCTAAGCTGGGGTGATTATTTCAACCCCAAGAGTCTAAATACCCAATTCAACCTGATAGAGTAGGTGGAGAATAAATCAGGGTGACTTCTGATTATCAAAGCTAAACAGTAAACATTTATATATATTGTTCATAAAGAGCCCTTTTACTAGTAGGTAATCCTCCCCACCCCCCCCCCCCCTCTAATGGCGTTAACAAGATTCCATTTTAGCTCACTTTACCAAGTTTTTTCAGCCATTCAAATGTCAGGTTTGTGAAGACAATAATATGGCATTAAAAAAAGGTGCTCAAACTTTCCGACAGTGGGCGGTGAGAAGTGAAAGAGACACTTACATGGAGAGAGCGGTGAAGAAGATTAGTAACCAAAAGAGCAATATGTAAGAAGAGTTTGGATGGTCAACCATATTCGCATAGCTATCACTGGAATTCTTGATCATTATATAACTTCCCAAACCCACCCCACATAGCAACCAAATTCCGGCGATCACATATCCATGTATTCCTGTTATCGTCCTAGACTGCCAAAAATAATACGTAAAAATAATTATAATAAATTAATTAATAACATCAACTTGGGAAACGTTCATATCAGACCTGAACTTGTCAAACCAATTTCATTTTTTATAAAAACACCAAGTTTATGATCCCTCTTTCAGTCTCATTTATTTGTTTTACTTTCCTTATTGAATTGTCAGTGTCACACTTTCTTTAATGAAAAGACATTTGAAGTATATGTTCAGAAAATTTCACGTTATTGTTATTATACTCAAAAATCTAAAACATACTACTAGTAGTAATTTTTACTTTATAACCATTTTATTATAATTGTTTCAAACCAAACTATATACATAGTGCATAAAATGGGACGGAGATAGTATGAACTATTATCTCAGTCCCCCTAAGGCCCTAACATTAGTACATGAGTGAGTTTATATAATTGATACGGAGTATTACACTAAAAATTAAAAATACATTAAGAATGATTTAGAACCACATAAATTTTATCAAATTTGATATGAGATGACTTAGTAGACATACAAAGGAAAAAAACGAGATCAATACAATTTTAGCATAGTGGGATGGAGTATTAGTTTGCACGTTAGATCGTATAAACGTTTAATTTTTACGATGAACTAATATTAACAATTACATAAGTACTAAAAGTGGAAAAGTGAGTTTAATAGGCCTACATTCGAAGAAAATTAAGATATAATGGTTCAAATAATTAAATACTCCCGCCGTCCCATAAAATAGCTCCCGCATTAATTTGGATTTGAGTTTAAGAAAGTTAGAATAAAGTTGAAATGTATGATTGTGATTGTGTACGAAAAAGGTAAATGAATGTGAGCTACACAAAACTTTTCAAAAAGTAAAATTAGAACTATTTTTTTATACGGCCCAAAAAGAAAACCGAGAACTATTTTGCGGAACTACAAACGGAAGGAGTAGTTGATATTGATGAATAAAAAATGCACCGTAATCTTTTAATTACGGTCAGATGAGCAGAACTCCCATCAATCCGGGCTGATATGAACATGAACACTATTTCATGTAATGATAACATTACACATAAGTATATTTTTTTGGTCAAATCATAATAAATGAGAAAGAGACTTACAACCCAATAATGCTTATCGGTGATGTTATAATCACCTCCGCCGCCGTGCATCTGCAACCGGCTAATCAGAGCACCGGCACGGCCATTGTTGACGTTGTCACGGCGGTAGTGGGACCCATTCACAGCACCGGATATGAGTAAGATAAGAAGGAGAGGAAAGAAATGTCCACATGAAGGAGCCATATTATTACAGAACCGGCGGCGGCGGCCAGCTGAGACGATGATCGGTGCTCTAAAACCGGCAGCTAGCTAGCATGGCAGTTATTATATGTAAAAGGTTGGAATCGAAGACAGATTGATTCATTCCTTAGGCTATGCGTTTAAGGTTGGAATCGCTTGTGGTCTGTGTTTTGTGATGTTTCTTGAGCATGACAAAAAACGTGTGAATGCATATACTCCGTCTGACTCTCTCCATGCTTTTGTATCTAGCTAGCTTCCACTCCACTTAATTTTCACATACTTTTAAAAATAAAATCTAAAAATTATAAAATATCACCACAAAAAAAATGTGATTAGTATGGATTGATCGACGGTTGCGTGCCAAATAGCCTGAGACAAGACAGATGTGACATGGATTTAGCTTATTTGTGCCAAATTCCCTTTGCATTTTGGAAAATCTTTGTCCAAAATTCGTGTTAATCCCATTATTTTTTGGAGTGATATAAAGGAAATATGAGATAATAGCATAAATGATACATGTAGAGAGTAATTAATGACATTGGTCACTATTTTAAATTAAAAGGTGCCAAAAGAGGTGTCTAGGCACGCTTGCATAGTAGAAAAGCGTTGAAGGACGCGCTTTGCCAAGTGAAGAGTTGAGCACCAAAAACGTGAAAAAGTGTAAGCGGCCTAAGCATGAAAGGCGATGCCTAGGCATGAAAAGACAGATTTGTTTTGATAATTTAATTTTTATAAGGAAAAAGTTGATTAGATTTAAAAAAAAAACACTTATAAACATGTTATATAGAATCAAATACAGAGTAGTAAAAATATAGTATTTGTGCCTTTATAAATTCACAAATTATATACGTAGTATATTGAATAAACTTAAAATTAGGCTCAATGTTTTATACTCCGTGATATTTTTGGACATTCTTTTCTTCTTCGTACGAGTATATACTAATAAAATACTTTCAGGCACTTATCCTAAAACGTCTTTTCATACCTACATTTTGCCTATTCTCGCCTCAACTTCAAAGAATTTAATGCACCAAATTCCATCGTAAAATATAAATTTGGTGCATTAGTCCTCTATGATTTAAAAATGTGTCAAACCCCTCGTGTTATAATTACTCATGGCAAAATTCCCTCCAAGTACAAATTTTACAGTTTTGAAATCAATTTTCTTAATAATATGATTGAATATGCATGTAACTTTGTCAAAGTTTCTAAATTATATCATACCAAAAAACTAACAAATTTTCACTTCTTGGCAATTAAATTTGTTCATTGAAGGGATTTTATGCATGAATAACCATAACACAAGGAGATTTGATACTTTTTTTAAATTACATGGAACTAATGTGCCGAATTTATATTTCACAGGGGATTCGTTCTTTGAAGCATGTACCAAAGAAGCTGACTATGATCAGATCTGGATTACCTGTGTTCGAGCTATGAAGGGTAGTTCATAAGCTCCAGATTTATGAGGGCGTAAGCCCCGACACTTCATTATAAAAATACTCTTTCAGAGCTATGGAGTTTTATGTCTCATATAAAACTCAATTTTTTATATGTGTTCAACATGATACTCTTTCAAAAAAAAACGTGTTCAACATATTTATGAGTTTTAGTAGATCAACTCTTTTATTAACACATAACACTCATCAATCTTTTTACCTTTTCCATATACAGTGTAACACATAACCAGTTTAATAAAAAGATTGAGAAAGCCTCTCAGCTCTCTTTTAAGCGTGGATCACTTTTTCGACAAAATCGTCCGTCCTATACGGCTATATTTATGGATGTCAACCGCCTTCTTTGAAAACTTTCCTGGCCTGCCAACCAACTTGACGAATCATTCTGTTTATTTGCTACGTAGTATTTCGAATTTTCGAGTATTTAATTCACGATATGATATATGCAATGACATAGGAGTGTTTTGTAAAAACTAAGAAAAATGTTTTTCACCTTTTGGATTTTATTTTTGAGCTAAATTGGCTTATGCGGAGTATTAAAATATGAGTAAACATTGTTCGATCATGCGTTGTTGAACCAATTTTAGAATTAATCACTTTAAAAGAAGTACGTATCATCTATGTTATCTACCGATCTACGTACTTCTCTATTTTGTTAACTTTATTTAAAATCTATATGGATGATTTTATCATATGAGTTGACATATTTATGTTAATTTGTTGTCTCATACGAGTATATTTTAGATATTTATTAACTTATATTTCATAAGTTAATATCTTATGATTTTTAAAATCTTTAACCGGCCAATCAAAATTTATGATTTTTGACAACCTTGGAAGTAGCCTGATTCGCTAATCATCATATGAGCAATTGTAAGCCAACTATGACCGACCCATATTTCTTGCCACTTATCCTATATGACTCATCAGTACCACATAGAAAACAAAAAACAAGTACTCAGTACCACAAACCTAGCAGAAAAGCCAACTACAATCCTTATCTAACGAATTAAAGAGAAAGCCAAAAATAAAACTGAGTACTTTAACTAAAAGACATGAAAAGGAGATCCAGGCGGCGATTTAGGAGTGGGCGAGCCGTTGGTCTTTCTTCGTCCTTGATCAGCCCTTCACCGCTCCCCATTCGCTCATTGCTCGTGCCGCCTCCACAATTTTCCATTATTTTCAACAAGATTTGTCCTCATGAATTATTTGGCTCATACTCAGACACACGCCAAATCTCCGACGAACATGCCTCACGGTGTTGGATAAAGACCTACGCCCCGCCCATACCTTCGGTATTCCAACTTCGAATCAAGATGCCGAAAAGAAAGCCACCTAGTAGCCCTCTGATTTAGCCACTCCAACCTGCTTCTCCACGAGAACGACGCTTGGCCGCACTCGACCGACACACACAAATTGCTGCACGCCAACGACATCGGAAATCCACGACCTTACACTATATGCGAGGGAAACCATGGCCCCTAATTCTCTTTCACAGTTAAAAAACTTGAAATTAGAAAGAATTCAGCTTTTGGAATGATAAAGGTTTAAATGAGCATTTTCTCAATTGATATCTTCTATTTAAATTAAACATTTAAAAGCTAAAAATTGATATGTGAGTGCTTTAAATTCCTTTTCAGTTTTTTTTTTTAAGTCTTTTTCATTTCTCTACTACATAAAAGTAGCTTTATCAAACATTGTCAATTCTTTTCATTAAAGTTTTTCTCTAAAATCTTTTTTAAAAGTCACTTTTATAAAATAGAAGCAATCACGAACACTACATACAGTTAAACTAATCCAACACAAAATGGTATAAATAAATATAAAAGTGGTATGAGTGCTTTATTTTTTGTGTTGAAATCCAAAACGGGGAAAATCACAAGACTTTTCGGGGTAATTAAAAGCCAATATCTTTTTATTAATCTCACCTTGCCAAATTTACATTATAGAAGAGCACTCACTAATGGAGGTTACGAATTTAGGGCAGAATATGACTAGTGAAGGGGGAAGAAGAGGATCCCTCAAATGGAGGGGAAAACCCCTTATTTGTAGGAAAAAGGTGAGATGGTACAAAAGCTACTCAAATGGGCCTAAAAGAAAAAAATGAGCCGAATGGGTCGAAATGAGCTGAAATGGCCAAACGATCCAAGGTGAGCCTCACTGATCGAGCTCCGTTCGAGAGTAATGCGTTGGGCTTCCGGAATTATAGTAGGTCGGTGTCCAATACCCCCAACAACTACTATAATTGAGAAGGATGTCAATAAATCAAACTGTGTTATGTAGCTAATCCTTTAGTAGGATTGGGCTTCCAGAGCGATTGGGATCCTCTGCCGCACGGCAGAGTGCCTTGCGTGCAGGGGACATCGAATGGAAGAAGAGAGGCCTCGGGATCTGTACCCCAACATCTCCGACCGTCCATATTTTGATCGGAGGGTTTCTGAGAGTCGGGCACCGTGCCTTACTTTGAACTTCAGATGGACCGGTTCCGGGCCGACCGGCCCGACACTGTTTGGAACCGGCCCGGCCAGAGACCGATCCGAGTAGGCCTGACCCGTGGGTTACATAGGGCGGGCTTGGGTCAGCCAAAATAGGAACAAGCCCGGCCGGGCCCGGTTCGGGCCTATTTTTTTCAATTTTTTCCCTGGGTTGGAATGGGTGTTTTGGGGGGGGGGGGGGGGGGTGAGGTGGGGTTCGGGGGTTAACTAGAAAAGCAAAAAAAATTGAACCGGCCTGAGGCCCGGCCCGAGCCCGGTGGATAACCAGGCCGATTCCGGGCCTCAACTATCCCCATAAAAGCCCGGTCTGTGCCTACTTTGAAGTATGGCAGAGTTTCTGGATCCCTTCCAGAGAGAGATGAAATTCATTGTAGCTGTGTAGCATACTATAGAATTCAATTCTTTTTCACCTAGCATTACTTTCTTATAGTTATAGTGTATTATTTTGAACTTGTAATTAAATCAATACTATTATATTAGGACTTAATTGCAATTAATAGTATTTTATTTAATAATTGTAGTTAATATCAATTAATTAATATATCAATTTCAATTAGAATGTTGTGTATTACAAGTATTATTAAGTAGATGTGTGTACTATGAGATTTTTGTATATGTCTCCCCATTTTGTATTCTTATATTTTCACTAATAAAATGTGATAAAACTCCTTGATATTTAGCTCATTGATTTGCATACCCAGTTTTAAAAAATGCATGTATATTCTTGCCCCAAAAGGGCCCAATTTGTTTATACATTTTGGTCATTTTATTTTATTTCACATTCCCTGCTTCTAATTTCTAATACTCCTGTCCCTCCTGGGCCAATAAGATGGTGAGACCGTGGGATTAGGCCTGGACTCGGGCCGGGTGGCCCGACCCGGAACCGGCCCGAACCGGCACTGTTCCGGCCCGGTGGCCCGGTCAGTGACTGATCCGGGTAGGCCCGACCCGCGGGGGTTCCGGTCCGGGCTCGGGCCCCTAAATCATGAACCGGCCCGGCCGGTTCGGGCCCGGTTCCGGTCCTATTTAATTTTTTTGTTTTTTTTTTTTCAATTTTTTTTAGTTTTCGGGTTGGGCTAGGTATTTTGGGCCATTTGGGGTGGTTTGGAGGTGGGGGGGGGGGGTTAACTAGGAAAAGGGGAAAAAACAAAGGCCCGGAACCGGGGAGTACCCGGGCCGGTTCCGCGTCCCCATTCCAGAACCGCCGGCACAACCGGGCCTAGGCCCGGCCCGGGCCCGGCCCGGGCCCGAACCGGCCCAAGTCCAAGCCTACGTGGTATTAACTCATTAAAGCACTTCAAAATCTCATCCCCGTTCCCAGCTGCAGTCGTTTTACTCCATTTCTCCTAAAGAACAAGAACCTTTTGATAAAATATCTTGGCAATCCTTTTTCCCGTCGCAAGTGTCTAAAGTCTAAACTAAGATTAAACTATCATTGAAGGCAACAAAAGAAAGAACAAAATCGTTAAAAATGACATCATACACTTCTGGAATCTGGAGTAAAAAGAGCATAACTGGAACCTTTTTTTTTCTTGCAATAAAAAAAATTATTGGTTCATTTCAATTCTTGGTCTCGGTTTTACCTTTTTTAATCACTTTTGGAACATATTTGTGATATATGAGCACTTGGAAGGACCGAAAATGAGAACAATCAGGTAACCAAAAGTTCAAATCCATATATTCCATCAGCAATGCACGGTATGAAACTAAGACAGGTGCAAGCAAATTATAAATGACAAGTCCGTGCACATTGGCATCACAGCAAGTCCAGATTCCAGAACCCTGCCACAAGGATGCATAGAGGCAATCCTTCTCTTGTCATGTTTTCACAAGGGACCGCTCCCAAACTTTTGATCACACAACGAGACTATAACCGATGCGTCAAAAATTCTCTTACAAGCGAGTAATAGCAATAAAATTTATTCAAACTATGGTGTTAGTTTATTAGTAATGTGTGTGTTTTATATTCACGTGGTCATGTATACAATTCTTATTGGTCATTACTGCATCAATGCATCAAACATTCAGATCAATATCCCAAAGTTTCAGCCATTCACAAGCTTATTACATTAAGAATAATAAAATATAAAAAAGATTACAAAAACAAGAATGAATTGGGTGTATAGTGAGAAATGTGCACTCTTACTGTAGTATAAGAACTCACCATGCAGGCATGCACAACCATCAAGATGATCAGACTTTCTGTGCTCCAAGGGTAACAAGAACTACAATTAGCTTGTACCAAGGCATGCTTCCACTAACAGCAATCTAACTGTACAAATGTTGTCGTTCGTCCTATCCCCAATGTAGTTGGGAATGAGGTGGTGATGACGATAGTCAAGCAAAATCAAAGAAAAACTCTAAGAGATCTGTGATCTCTTTATTGATGAGAGCAATTATCAATCAAAAAGACACCTGGACTTACCCCACATCAACAAATAGTGGGATGAGAGGAGAAACCTAAATCCCCGCGCTTGGGTTGCCTGCACCAGCTGCCACAACACCCATACCACCACCGACCACTGTTTTTGTGATTGCAACTTGGTCACCATCAAGCTCATTCACAAGTTCATCGATTTTCCGGAACTGGTAAGGCCATTTCACATTATACAAAAACTGCCGAAGATCAAACCTGTTGTCCTCTGGTGAGTAACTCTGCACAACACACACAAAAAGAGGTTTTAAGCTAGGGGTGAGGTTATACCAATGGGAGATAAATCAAATATACAAAATATGACATGGAACACACACACACACACCCGCACACACACACACATATATATATGAGTAATCTTCCAGTCAGGAAATAGGAATTTCCTGAATGGAGCGCTGGAGCGCTGTCTGGCCGCCGCTTGGGGCGGTTCCCGGTGGTATTTTTGCTGATTTTTTTTTAGAATGTTCCTCATCAAGTCTAGTTTATAAATTCAATCAGGAAGGCATTCAAATAATGTTTTGAAGTTAACTGTGCCAAAATATACATATAAAACGCAGTTATCTTCAAAAACATATTTGACTGCCTTCCTGATTGATTTTAAGCTGAAATTTAGTGTGGATAAACTAGACTTGATGAAGAACATGGAGAAAAAATTTCAGAAAAAAACCCACCGGGAACCACCCCAAACGACGCTCCGGTCAGGAAATTCCTGACCTGAATATTTGTGTATATATATGCTCTGAGCATTTCTTTTGGAACAATTGAACACACAAAAATGTAAATTTGAAGAAGGAAAAAGTAAATCATACCATCAAAAAACAAGTTAAATAATATATTTACATTCACCTTGTTTCTAATTTAGGAATAAAGCTTGTTTTATTGACATCATATAGCTTTAACAAATTTATTAAACTATTTTTAGACAAGGGTATATCAGTATATGTGTTTCATGTTTACACTTTGGTGTTTAATTATTCCATAGAAGAATTATCTACTTCTTTTAGGATCAAGTCTAGGGTATACTTGTTTCTTGTTCCCAAACTAAATAGGGTTCCAAACTGAGCTCTAAAGAAAAAGAAGAGTACCTCAGCATGATATGAAGGTGTTAACACAGTCATCTTGTGTCTGTTAATGGCATAATACTTGAAGAAGTGCTTCACTTTATCACCCACCTCTTTTGGAGTCAACACTGTACCCCATTTATAGCAGAGGTTCTACAAAGCCAAGTGTAGTGTGTAATGCAAATGCAGTTTATATAAGATCAAAAAATGCCTAATATTTAATATGCTGGGGGCAAACCTTAAACATCGATACAGGTCCACAACGGTAAATCTTACGCATTCTTCCATAAATTGAGAGTTCTTCATATGTCATTCCCATGTCCACTTCATCCAGCTGCTTTGCAAAAATAGAGCATGCACATTCATACTTTAGTATAAAAAGAAGTAGATAATGAAAGGTGTGTCTGGAACAAAGAGTGAAAGAATACAAGAATGCACAAAAAGTGGCACCTGACTATAGTTAGAGCGTATAGGTTCCAATTCAGCAGTGGGAGGAGCTGCTTCAATTTCTGCCAAGGATGAGTAACCAAGATGAATGGCTGCCCATCTCAGAAATGTTCGAAGATCCATCTTGCTAATACTTCCGATTGGATTTACATCAGCTGAACTACAATCATACTGCAACATGCAAATAGTAATAATAGTAATGGTGGTAGTGGTGATGATGATAATAGTAGTAAATATAACACTAACATCATTAATAATAATAACAATAACAAATAATAATAATAATAATAATAATAATAATAATAATAATAATAATAATAATAATAACAGCAGTAATAGTACTAACAATAATGATACAGGTGCACAATGAATATCTCCACCCTACATCCCCCAAAAAAATATGTTGACTGACCTTTGTTAGATAGCCACGCAATGCTTCATCTACATTGGAGCTACCCAATACCAAATAAAATCCCATTTTATTGTGTACCCATGGCAACAGTGATGCTAGCATGAATGCTAAGACCATTCTGACTCGAGCTTGAATATTTTGCAGGCCCAAGTTTTCAATGCTCGATCCCCCATCTACCTAGAAGGGAAGAGTCATAGCTGGTCAATATCGATCTTATCTATGGGCCATCCAAATATGATCATTGTTATGATTTTATAAGACATTTATACACAACAAAAAAGTGAAATGTCAAATATTATACCTTGTATTTTGGACGCTTCCCTGTAAGTGTTTGGAACAAAGAGATCAGAGAAGAAACTACACCATCTATGCTAACGTTTAGATGCCATGATCCAATTTCATCTGCCAGAAGCTTTGCCCGCGATGCCGTGGCTTCAGAACTATTTTTAATCATGATATATTGTCACTAATATGCAGACTGTCTAAAGAATGAATTCTGATTTTTTTAATAACAAAAACGAAACAGAAGATGGGGGGAGCATTGATCATTTTGCTACAGAAAACATAATTGATCAGGGCCTTTGTTGCTTATACTTTTTTCTGAGATTGTCCGATAGTGGAAAACCAAGTGTAAACTAATTCGCAGTTCAATTGGATTTTGTAAGCAACAGAAAAGGATCAAATGATCATACAAATTTCCCATCTTGTTATATTTTGGATAAAGTTAGTTCACTTAGTTGTAAATTTTTGTCATACCATTCAGAATGAACTAAACTACCTAGGATGTTTAAAATGCAAGTCTTAAACACATAAAGGTGAGCTCCAAAGGCACCACACTATTATTCTTAAAAATATACCTATTTTCAGACCCCATGAAAACCGTATAAAATATACGCTTGGCGAATTCTTTGCTATCCATTGGGAACTGTCCATCAGTGTACTGGCCAATTCGCATAGCATCAGCCTTGACCTGTTCATCCCCATTTGCAATTTCTGCATCCCACAAGCATTTCTCTTAGTATGCAGTAACAAAATGTAAGAAAGCATGACAGGCAATTTTATGATAGTTAGATAGTCCGGGTGCCTTGAAAAAACAAACTTCTCAAACAACTTTAGGTTTAGATTTCAGAGCACTATAAAGTATAAATTGCTTGACCTAGGCAGGTGGCCAAGCTATTGGAGCTAGACTCTTTTAATAAACAAGCGTTCATGATATTATTTAGTAGTGAGTTACACATTTTAAATTAAATAAGCGTGAGTAATTGAGTTCAAATAACCTTTCATTAGGCCACAAAATATTCATGTTTGGGTGAGGCGTGAGATTAAAGTACCTTTAACTACAAGCTGGCACATTGAACCAACTATTGCGGCAACAGAAGAACTATCAGCACCACCTGAAAGTGGGAGCAAGAAACCAGATGCACCACTTCTTCTTAAATAATCCCATAACCAGCAAGCAGGCCCAAGTGCTATTTCCTCCTCAGGAGAGTGGTACCTAGTCTACAAACATAAACCAAACTTACTAATGAACCATCGATAGACAGTGCTAAAACAAGGCAGGTAAGCAGGTTGTAGCACAAGCCAATCAGCTGAGACAACCACTTGAGTTGTCATACAAGTATGAAACTTTACAAGGGAAAGAAATGAAATAAACTCGTAAAAAGATTTAAGACATAATACCTCGAGAGGACTAGTAAGTGATCTTTGGAGATTGAAGGACTTGCAAAGTTTATATGGAATGACAACTGCGGAAACTTTAGATTTCGAACTAGCTTGCTCTTGGAAACTACTGGTAGATGTCCTAAGACTAGCAACCTAGCATATAAGCAGAAGAAAAAAACTGGTAATCAATTACCTAACAAGCGACAACATGATATAACATACTAGTATTAATAAACAACGGGATTTTTTCAAAAAATATTACTAAAATAAAACTTATTTACACAAATATGACTAATAGATACTACAATGTAGTGTCATGGTAACTTAAGTTTTATTGAACATAAGTTATCATGATTTCATTACTACTCTAATCAATAGTCACTTTTTTGTAAAACAACTTTCATTTTAGTCATATATATGTAATTATTTCATAAACAACAGCTAAATATGCATTTCTACTGCAACATATAAGTAGAAGCAGACAAATAATGCAATCAACCTGCAACAACAAAAAACAAAATAGATTTTTTTTAATCTAAAAATTGAAATTCAGCAAGTAACAATCTTCTGCAGTGTTTTTCTAAGTTGTACATTGGTGCTGTGTTTTTAGTTACCTATGAGCAAGTATGAGTGTGTGATAATCTATCAACTCCCAGCAACTAAACCAATGAATCTTATGATGAACTACAATGTGGAAAATGAGGTTAAGATTCCATGGTGAATAATGTTCACAGAATCATATCTAATTTCAGGGTTAATTACATGAGACTGTTATGTACCGGGATTCTTTGTGTCACGGGAATGAAATAAAAAAGGAAAAATTCACAAGAATAATCCCACCTTTCGCCGGTCTTCTCATAATAATCCCACCTTTAAATAATCCCAAAATAATCCCACCTTTGCACTTCATCTTCTTCCATGGGATTATTATGAGAAGACCGGTGAAAGGTGGGATTATTCTTGTGAATTTTTCCAATAAAAAATGATAAATGGATAGGGGACTGGAAATTTGGGGAGTTTTCCTTCTCCTTGGTTTTCTTCTTAATTTTTCTTCGATATCTTATTAGCATAACAAAGCTCCCTTTTATAAGAGGGATTACATGCAGATAACAAGGAAAGGGAAATCCTAGAAAATCACTTCCTAAAATAGATTAAATAATGAAGGTATCAAAATCAAATCATAATAAACTCAATCAAGCAAATCAATCAGATATTACTCCTCATTATTCTACTTGATTGCTCTGTTTATCTTTCCATAATATTATATAGTAGCATGCATCAGAGACTCCCTCCTTAAGTCCAACTATTGCACCCCTACAATTTTTGTTTCAATTTGCATTCTCTCTGTCTCTTGTTTATTCCACTATCGCTACTTGAATGCATTGTACAACAATTTTGTCAATTAAGAATTTGCAGTGTACCGCATCTAAATCAATTTCAGCAAACACCATTTCAACATCCTTCAGAGAAAACTGTGATCCTTGAGCTATCATGTCTCCATTCACAACCACACAAGAACATCCATCTGCAGAACAAAAATAAGCAGCTATTACATTTTTCTAATTCCTTAATTCAATTGTAATGTACAAAATTGCTAGAGTAAGTGAATAATTCTTCAAAATATTTTATCTAATATGTGAAGGGGTGCAAGTGGCTACCAAAATAAAGTCGACCACCATCACATCCTTGTTGATTGCTATACATGTAAACCCCTCCACGTGTGTGAGTAGCACTTACAAAAGCTCGCATGCGAAGATCCAGCTTTCTTAGCTGGTGATGACTTCCACTCGCATTCATAAATACTTCAACTCCATTAAGTGCAAGTTCAGCATGAGGCGGTGAAGGTACAAAAAGTTCCTCACAAACTTCAGCTGCAACAGCTCTGAGGGAAGCATTTGATACATCACATTATAATCTCAAATAGTCAACTCTGCTAATAGCTATACAAGTATGCATCTCTTAACCAAATGCTTCATGTTGGATTACATTAATGTCTAATGCTTCTGAATTTGTGTCACTTAGGTAAATATAACTATACTAGTACACATTGAGGGCATTTAAGCAAGCAAGGGACCCAATAAGTAAAGTTTACTAATACGAAACACGAACAAAAGCGATATAGATTTGTTTTTGAGTGCAAAGCAAAGCGTTGGTTTATGCAAAAAGTGACAAGGATGAAGCAAAATTAATTTTCATTATCCAACATGAAATTCAACTCTCATAGATCAATTCATAAAATGATAAATTTAGTTAGATGATTTAGCACTAATAAAAATAAGACAATTGTCAACTCAATCGTTGTCATAAGATACATAAAGCTTTACTCCATTAGATATATTCCTAAATACATTTTCTTCATTCAAAAATCTCCATAACTTATTTTCTTCATAAATAAGTCTATAAGAAGCTGCAACGTTTTCCTTGACAATAATATTATGTTGTCTCCTGAGTCCTGACTTAAAAGTCATCCATGTTCTCATCATGGATCTTGAATTCTTGATTTCTTGAATTATCATTAGACATTTTCTTCAAGCAATACTAAAGTACCCCGCCCAGAAAGAAAGAGTCATATTTGGCCGAAGATCAAAGTACACTTTTTATATAGAAAAAGTACTTTTTCATAAGTCAACAATGTTATTCTTACATTTTTTATATCTTTTTTAAACATAATTTGTAGTATTTAACAATTACAAACAACTTTGGGGGGATAAACTCTATTTTGTTGAAACATGACCTTTATTGACAACTATGTAAGCATATTTTCAGACAGGGGTACTACTAATTAGGTACAAATACATACATATGTTCAGTATAACAATACTACTATTGGTAACATTTACTTCGTACCATTTAATGGAAAAACGTTTGGCCACTTTAAGACATCTTAAGAACCTAAACACATTTAGTTAAGCTTTTGTGTAAAAATTGACCATATTATAAGTTTATAGAAAAATAAGATGATTATCGAAGGAAAAGTCAAAGAACTGGAAATTAAATGATCAATAATATCAATGCATGGTCCATGCTGAAGATTATGCACGCATATGTATCAAGCAACACAGATACAACACAAAAATGGATTATAAGAAGGGTCCGATTCAAGATTAGCTACAAACAGAGCGGCTAACCATGGCAAGTATTTTTAACCCTCGACTGCAGCTTCTTTGCCAAAGGCTCAAAGACGCATTGAAGCCAATAACCCTACTTTGCTCGCTTGCAAATAAGACTGACTTTAAGCATATAGGTCAATTGAGACCCAAAAAGTGAACTTCCATAACCTTAATGGAATTCAAACCTTACATCAAAGACTTCTATCTATACATCTAATATCAGCATAGGGAGAATCAGAAGGGATAAGAATAACGACTTACGTGTCCAAAAACTGAAGATATCCATAGCCAAATGGAACAATTGATTGATTCAAAGCTTCAGAAACATTACTTGGGAGCTGAAAGTCCTCAACATCTCTATGCTTCCAGGCTGTAAACCATCGTAGTTCCCTATAGTTTCCATCATTTGCTAGCCATATTTTGGGCCGAATCATTAATATTTTCCTGTTAAGACACAATATTTGACAGTTGTAGCGCTCTGATCCTTTGACCACTGGCATTCCGAAACTGCACAATAAGTTATCTGTCCAATGACCTAGCAACAATTCTTTTAAGCAATCCCACCTGCAAATTTAGAGTGCAAAACATAACATACTATGCATATTACTTGGCCTAAGATAACATCAAAGAATCTTACGCATTAGAGATGGTATCAAGCTCAAAGAAGTGATCCTCGCATCCATATCCAGTGATTTCAAGCTCGGGGCCGAGCCTGATCATAGCTCCTGCCACTTTAGCTCTAGAAATGGAATCCTTTATGTTCTTCATATTGCAATCAAAATCCATGGCCCATTGGTTCAGGTTACACGTAGCCACTTTCAGTAACCTCATTTTCTTCTTATCTTCGGTTTAAATAGAACAACAATAATTTAAGTTTCTGAATACAAACTAAGCTTATCAAACCAAACCGCATGTGTATGCACACAAAAATGGACCTTTAGCTTCAGATATGTACTCAAAGGCAAGGCCAGAAAATTCAGTTGATGCGGACGTTGTCCTTGGGATTACGGCCCCCCCTATTTAGTACATAAATTGATGGTTACTTATATATATATATCATTAAAATCACTACAAAGGTAATTTTTAATATTTACTACTACCTCCGCCCCGCTAAGATTGTCCCATTTTACCTTTTCAGTCCGTCCAAATTAGGCAAAATTTGTGTGGCTCCAAATTATTCTTACTTTATTCTTACTTTATCAATTCAATATCAACCACATAACTCACTTTTTATTAGTTTGTGTGTCACTCCCTCTTGTCCCATTGTTAGTAGGACGGAAGAAGTATTTGAATACTATGCTAACCGTTCATAAGATTATACATACCCACACTTGCATTTTCAAGGTTTTATACATCAAAAGTGAATTATTATAAAACCATGATTAATAGTACCAATAAATTTTGTTCTACATATGCTACTAAAAAATCATTCAACATCTGGTCACAAATTAAATATCATTTCGCAGCTAATTCATAACTAACTTCCTAGCGTACATGTTAAACATTGGCTGTTGCTAACACTGGATATAATGCTAACTGCATATTAAGTGCATTTTAACATCTCAATTATCTCAATTACCGACTCAAATAAAAAATCATTCAATATACAAATCAAGAATCAAAATTAGGGAAGAAAACAGACTAGGAAAATAATTCGTTATTCGTTAGAAAAATAAAAAAGAATTTTCAATGAACAAATGGAACAATAATTGGAATTATCAATTCCTTAATAGAACAATAATAAGAAATTAAAATCAAATAACTTATCACTCACAAATTGAAAAACTAGTCACAAAAAGTCCAGATTAGATGTGGACTGAAACCACACGATCCAGAAAAGTCTAAAATTGACAAGCTTCCCATCATTGCAACATTTGTTCAAACAAAATGTCGGTTTTTCTTTTAAAAACGTTGCATCATTCCGCCATGGTTTAGTTGGGCAGAGCATAGAATTTACACCTAATAAAACTACGGATTGTCTCATTTTTCTGGGTTGCCTCTCACAGGGTCGGATCTAGCATTTAATTGAGCGTGGGCTAAAAACTAATGCATATAAAATAACTGTAATTACAAAAAAGGTAAAATATAAAAACAAATATTACGAGTATTTACAAGAATAGAAGTTTTCACCAGAGTCAAATAAAAACAAAACATCACAAATTCAACTTTACAACAAAACACCACATCATATGATAAATTAGATAATATTAACAAGATCCTCACAAGTAAAAGTCATATTAAAAACAATGGGGTTAATATTTAAATACTATTTTCAAACTTAGTTAAACAACCAACGAATTTTAATCATATATTGTATATTTGAGGTTATTCGATTTCATGGTGAAGTAAAAGAAATTTGAGAATATGTTTAGCAAACATATATGATGTTAATCGGCCTGTTAACAACAACAAACTTTCAACGTTATTTATAAAAAGCTCTCAAGTTGCGCCTTTACAATACAAGTTGAAAAGAGTGCACTGCTAAGGTAATTGCAGAAGTACTTCAGTAACTATCTTTAGTTCTTTACACATAAAAGAGAAACTTAAGCTTTTGTTCTAAGCTCAAACCCAATCTATTCTGTTAACACATTAAACTAAACCAAATTTTATCACTTCTTCTCATAGGAAGTTGGGTTAAAATAAATGAACAGCTTAACAGGTGCTTTTTTTAAATAAGACACGCATTTAAAAATTAGATTAGATTCAAGATTATAAAATGAAGACATAAGACTGAATTGAAAATTAAAAAACAAACAAGATAAAGACTGAAGTCAGAATGATCAAATAATGAAGGGTGTGCATAATTTTTTACATTTCTTTTGTTCCTAAATTTTACTAATTGAAATTTCAGTAAACTACAATTTCTTAATTGAGCAAAAGATGGTCAATTAGTAATTGAATGTGAATTTTTTCTGAAACACATATCATAAAAGTTCACTAATTGAATCTGAAATCTTTTCTATTTTGAACGAAATCTGGAATTTAACTTTAATTTTGTTTACCTAGCTGAGTAATGAGGTAAACAGGATGCGTCGCAGGCTTAGTGTTAAAGAAGAGTGGTCGTTGCGGCGTTGCCTCGTCGGCGTGCTGAACTGCTGAAGAAGATTAGATTTTGCTGCTGTTTGAAGTTTGACCTAAAAAGTTCAAAAATTTGGAGTTGCCGAACAAAACTTACTGAATTGAAGATTGAGACCCAGCAATTGTCAGATGCGGGAAGGGGCAGACGCCCTGCCGCAGGTGCGCGCCGCAGAGACTATGCCGTTGACGGCGATGGGCGGACAAGCTGTTAATTCTGTTATTCAAATATACTAAGAACTCTTGTTATGAACAAGTGCTTAACTCTTGTTAAGCCGTAAAATAGAAGATTATTGTTATGAACTTTTCTTATATACTGCCTCTTACTTTGTCCCGTCTTACTTTTTTTTGTTCGTCCTATTAAGTTTGTCACATATCATATTTGGGCGGTTACAATTCATTCTTATGAGACGTTTACTTCGGTGTTAAAGTCACAGTTAGGTTAGTAAGACAGTTAGGTTAGTAACACGCAAACTGCTTAAAAAACTGCTTCCTAACCAAAAGAGGTGTTTAAAGTGGCGCTTACTAAGCATACCACCCTCACATGTATTAATTAAGCAATACTTTAAACTTTTTCGGTTTTTGAATTTACCATTACCCCTTGCTCTTACCCTATTGTTACCCTCTACCCACCCCGTCCCGCCCCCACCCTACCTTACCCCGATCCCAATCACCCCCCACACCCCTTACCCTACCCCTACCTCGACTCGACCCTTACCCCTACCCTCACCTCCTTACCCCCACTCGTACCCTACCCCTACCTCGACCCAACCACTACCCCACCCCTCCTACCCCCACCCGTACCCCGACTTTACCCCTTTACCCCCTGCCATCTGCCCCTACCTTGACCCCACCCCTCCCTGCCTTCCCCGGACCTTACCCCTCTACCCCCTACACCTGCCCCTACCTCGACCCAACCCATTGTGTAGGGAAGTTAGAGGTTAATGTCACGGTAGGGGTAGGGGTATGGTACGCGTATGAGGTGACCCTCACGTATTATATTATATATTTGTGTTCATGAATGTTTATGTGTGTATATATGTATAGGGTTATTTTGGACATTTTAATGTTAAACAGTGTTTTAAGTCATTTGAAGTAAACATGAGTTTACAACACTGCTTATTTTATCCGCCGTTTATTAACGCGGGTCTTACTAAGCACCGTTTGGAAACCCGTGAAGTAAGCATGTCCTTACTTTATTCGCACTTTATCAATTCGATATCTAGCGCACAATTCCTAAGGTCTCCCACTCATCAATGAAAAACAGTGCCCATCAACATTGTCCCACACGGATTCCCAATGTCAAGGGGACAAACAACCTAACATTGATGTCGTTTGTGCCACAGGCTCAAGCCCCGACAACTCTGGGGTTGACTGTTACCTCAGACGGGACGTGGAAAGGACTCTGGTAGAGGAAATGGGAAAGACGATGCGGCCAACTCCCGTCCAACCCAGGAGGAGGGGGGATGCGGAGGAGGAGGAGGCCTCCGGCTCAGAGCGATATGGATTTGAGCTCAAAAGATTCCTACAGTCGGGATCTAGATGACTACAAATATGGATTAAACTGAAGTATCAACAAAAAGGGTCGTTCGAACACATATTAGACAAAGACAGTATAAAACACATCTGTCATCCTAACATCGAGGCATATTGTTGGCGTTTTGCTCACTTCTGGGTGTGGTGGAACTATCCGCATGATGAACCAATAATACCCTTGTAGTATCACTTCCTGGACGAGCATCTTGGGACTTGGTGGCTTGAGCACAAATGCGACTAAGGATGGGCCAAGCATTTGAGATAAGATCTCCGATCCAAACGTCTTCTTATAGAGTTGTCTGTCTTTGAGTTCAATGTTTGACGTCCGTCATTTAAGTAGTTTTGAAGAATGGTTTACCTAGTAGTCGATCTGTAGTTTCTTTTAACTTTTTAAGAAAAGTTATGAATATTTGAGTCATGTGACATTCATTAATCTTCTTTGGCTTACAAATGTTTTTTTTTTACAAGACACTAATTTTCATTATATATGTGTTCCAAATCATGCAATAACCAATTAAGAGACGATGTCACTTTTTATTTAATTCGCAGAAGATGACATTTTTTGTTTTTTATCCTATGTGATATTTCATTTATATTATTAATGACTATATTTTAAATAATATTTTTCGTAGCTTATCAGTGAGTTAGCCATTTTAACAATAACTTCACTAACTTTAAAAGAACAATTAATTTATTTAATTGCAAAATGAAACATTCCCATACCATTGCAAACATCAAACCAATTGAGTCAAGATAATTTTTAGAGAAAAGTAACATATTTAAAATTAGATTAAACTAAATTTATTTAAATTTGATTCTTTCGAGAACTTAAAAACTAATTTAATGAAGAAATACTAAAATTCTCTCACCTTACTAGTCCTCAAGAGTCAACATAAATAGAAAATAGGGGTAGCTAATCGAGCACACCAGCACAGTTGGTTGTGAGGTTACCGGTGCATATGTGAGATCTCGTGTTCGAAACCGTTATGCACCAAAGGGAAGACGAGGGAGGTCTTGCTCCCATTTCTTTCTACTTTCACGGAGTTGCTCAGCGGCTAAGAAGGGAGAGAGGATGGTAATGCAACTTCGTGGATTTGCGTGGTAGGAGGACCCCCTGGATGCAGCGAGGGTGGCAGGCTTTGGAATTTCTACTGGATTCGCCCTGTGGAGTCAGTACCGACGAGGCTGATTGTGATCAGATCTTGATTTAACTATCTAGGGGCTTTGGAGGGTAGTTCATAGACTCCAGGATCAGGGGAGCGCAAGCACCGACACCTCGATTATAAAAAAACAGGGGTGATCCTAAGGGGCATGGGGGCGGGTGCCCTAGTCTAAAAAAAATGAAAAACAAATAGGCCCAAATTTAGTTCTTTATAATAGGTGTATGAATAAGCTTTTTTTTCATACCTAAACTAATAATTTTTCGGGTAAACTTAACTGAGGTGCTTCCAGTGATTTTTTGTGAACATTTATGAACATGTTATATATAAAATGTAGATTATGTCTACAAAATTTCAGTTTAAAGCTCAATCCAGATGTCAATTAAATAAATTATTGAAAAACACTGCATTTTTTATGCATATTTTGGTGTAGTGTTCTCGATTTAACTGAATTTCCGATTGAATTTGAAGTTCAAATTTTGTGAACATAATCTACTCTTGACGAAAAACATAGTTCAAATTTTAAACTTAAGTTACTGTGATACTAGATTGTAGTAACTATAATTCTTATTTTTTTTAAAGCAACTATTAATCTTATTTATGCAAATAAGTTGTATTTTGATAATATTTATGAAAAATATTCTTGCTTAAATATGGTCTCATACTCTCATCTAATATACTTTCTTCGTTCTTTAATTCTTGCAACATTGTGATTTTGTGACTTCATCCATTCTTTAATTCTTGCAACATTATAATTTTTGCACTATTCACAGACTTTACTTTAACTAAGATTTTCTACTAATATACATAATCAAATTATTACGTATAAAATGTTATTGAATTCCTATCAATGTGAATTTCCAAAATATCAACTTTTTATAATGTTTATTAATACGTTGTATATAATTAAATATAATTACAGTCGAAGTTGTGCGTGAAAGTCAAATTGTTGCAAGATCGAAATTAGTCTTATTATATTAATACTACGTACATCCTTACCGTAAAAGTATATACTTCTTCGTACAATACATGTTTCCTTTTAATCGGTAGATTAGATACACCTTGTACGTACGACAGACATTAGCCGAGTTCCGATTCGGAGTTAGGTTCGGGAAAAGGAGTGTCTCTCCATTGTCTAGTCTCTCTGCTCTTTCGAATTAGGATTTTCGCAGATCTCCGAATCCTCGTTTCTGCGTCAACCATGGGTGTCTGGGAAGCTTTTCTGAATTGGCTAAGAAGGTAATGCTTAAGATATCCTTAATTTTGATCAGGGAATGCTGTTATATTCCAATTTTGCTTCAAGTTTGTGAACTATTATCTTTTTCGGGAGTCTTTGTGCATAGTTTTATTTGTGTTCTCAATATTTGGTTTTAATTTCAAAAGTTCTTATCTTGTTGTCTCCTGGTGGTAGGATTCTCTGTTTTCTGTTTTTATATACTACGTATATTTAAATTTATGAAAACATCTGCTGAGGTTTTGAATTTTTTAAAAAGGTTTGGCTTGTCCTCTATGCTTTCAAATCCACGTTCACAAAATTTTCATCAGTTGGCTTCGTTATATGCTGTTAGTCTGTTACTTGGTTAGGATGTGAATTTGATGGGTACAGAATTGACATTTGTTAGCTTTGTTTATGGCTCTTTGACAAGCTATGACTATTTATTGAAATCTTATTGTGAAAACAATTTAACAAGCATTGTTATTAAGGGACTACTTTTTTTAATGTATGATCTTTGTCAGTCTGGCCACCAAGAATGCTATGATTAATAACTGTGATTATGTTTCCTTCCAAAGTTTTTATTAAAGCTTCATCTCCCTTCTTTGGGTTCCATATATGAATTTGAAACTAACTTGTGAAAATGCGCAATTTATGTGTTCCTTAGTCCTCTTTTATGTGTTCTAGAGTTTTGGTTGAAAAAGAACTCTAGAGATAGTGCAGCCCCCTAGAGTATTGATTGTATCTATTCCTCTCTGATGCTTTTATAAGACATAATGGATTTTTAATAAGAAGTTGTTGTCTATATTCCCATACGATGTCTTTTTAAAACTGGGTGTTCTTACAAGTTCGAACTGGTATTTCAGCCTCTTTTTCAAGCAGGAAATGGAGCTTTCTTTAATAGGGCTTCAAAACGCTGGAAAAACTTCTCTTGTAAATGTTATTGCTGTAAGTATTGGCTCTCCTTTTTCTTTCTATTTACATCCACATATATTAGCCCTATGTTTTTGATAATTCTAATGCTCTTATTAATTGTTCATCACTTTGTTTCATTCTTAGACTGGTGGTTATAGTGAAGACATGATACCAACGGTGAGTTCATCTTATAGGATCTTTTTCGTAGGAGCTACAGTTCTCCCACCTTTTAAATATTCATTGATTCACTTTGATAATGAAACAAGATAATTATTTCCATCAGGTGGGATTTAATATGCGGAAGGTTACTAAGGGCAATGTTACCATAAAGTTGTGGGACCTTGGAGGTCAACCACGATTCCGTAGTATGTGGGAGAGATACTGTCGTGCAGTATCTGCTATAGTGTATGTACACTTATCCAGCTTAATTTTTCTATTGCAATTACAATTATAGCACTCCCTTTGTCGACTAAGTTTGTCTCATACTATATTTAGTAATATTTGGTGGTTCAAATTCATTCCAACTTTATCTACACTTTAAAAATATACTTCGTAATTTCAACCAAATAATTTCACTTTTCATAACAATCGTACCACTTCCTTATTTACAATCTTTGTGGGACTGATGTAGTATTAAATATTAAAAACACATATCTCCAAATTGGTAGGCGTAGGCATCAAACAACTTATTTCAGTGTAATAAGACCCTCAACAGGCTGTCGTTTGTGAGTTTTATAATTCGAGACAATTTAAACAAAATCTCTGCTGCAGATATGTTGTGGATGCTGCTGATCCCGACAACCTCAGCGTTTCAAAAAGTGAGCTCCATGATCTTTTGAGCAAGCCTTCTTTAAGCGGAATCCCGTTGCTTGTTTTGGGAAACAAGATTGACAAACAGGGTGCCCTGTCCAAGCAAGCTTTGACTGATCAGATGTAAGTGTTTGATAAACACCTCATTTGAGTAACTATTTTTCAGTAAACAACCTCCCTCGAGGGTTTGTTCACATTACCAAATGATCCCTGAGGTATTTAAATTCGTGAACACACCCCTTGACAAGTTATTCTATTATTGATGACAGAAGGTAATATAGTATTATTAGGAATGGAGTGTCTACATTACTACATTACTACATTACTACTCCGTAATCATTTTAGTTGATGATAAGAATAAAAAAGATTATGTTAGTAGCCCTTCATTCATATTAATATCATTATATTATGTCATATTTTAGTTTGGTGTCTTTCACTCAAATATATGACTGTTCGTCTGTTTAAACGGACTTATGAAAGAAAGTACTCCACTTGTGGTCCCATGATTCGTAGGTCATTCATTCTTTTGGTCTTCACCATTCACTTTTCCACTCTTGTCCCATGAGTATAGAAATTTGTCACTTGTGGGCCTTTTCTACCACTTGTATGGTCAATTTTAGTACTACTCCCGGTTCATTTCCACCAAAAGTGTATTAGATGAAAATTATGGATAGAAAGTGAGAATGCCATAAAACTCGTGGACCCGGATTTTTTTCTATTTGCAACTCATATGAACTTCAAGTACAAATATGTAATTTGACCAAATTGCAGGGGTTAAATGTGATCAACCTAGCCATTTTTGTCTTAACTGGCTGTTTTGTTTCTGGATTAAGCTTAAAGTTTCACCTGGGGTTAAAGTAATCTCTTTTTTATTCTCTGCAGGGGTTTGACTTCGATAACTGACAGAGAGGTTTGCAGCTATATGATCTCTTGCAAGAACTCTACCAATATCGACTCTGTTATCGATTGGCTTGTTAAGCATTCCAAGTCTAAGAGCTGAATATGAGTTTTGGACTACGTCTAATTGTGTGTGTTGCATTTGAGAGACGACACCGATTGTACTGTGCCTGGTTTTCATAACTACTATGTGGTGGCGATGTAATTACTCCGTATATGATTATTTTGTCAATTGAGAGATTTCACTTTTTTTTATGTTTATTGTGATTGTGTATTGCGTGGCTGTTTGAACAATTGCTTTTATTTTATTTTATATATGAAAGGATGTTTCTTAACCTCGAAATGTGAGTAATGAAATGCATTCTGTAAACTTTTTTTTTAGTATAATGCATTCTGTAAACTTAATTGCCTTGAAAGTGGAAACTGAGGTGCCGTTTGGTAACACCCCTTTTCGGCTTATCAGCCAACTTTTTCACCAAACACGTAATTTTTGCTTTAGCGTGCTGAATTGTGTAATAAGCAGAAAAAGTAAGGTTGGAGTTACTTTTCTGGCTGTATTGGCTGAAGTTACTGTAGATGACCATTTTAGCTATTTTTACATATCATTTTTTCTTTATTTTATTAATAAAATATATTTTAAAAATATTTTTTTCTTAAATCAGCAGAATCAGCCAATGCAGCCACTTCAGCCAGAACTTCAGAAATTTCAGCAGAATCAGCCAAACCAGCCGATTTTCCTTCTACCAAACGGGCTCTGAATGTGTGTCTATGTTTAAAATTACGGGACAAGTTAGAAAACGTTGGGAAACATGGAGTAATCAGTTTACCAATTTCTTTCAGGAGAAAAATGCATCGAAGAAAACAAGAAAAAGAAAAACTGAAGTGGAAAAAACATACGTAGTAACAATTTGGACTACTTTCCGAAATAGAAAATTGTGCATTTGTGAATTTTGTGCACTTGTAGAGTTGTAGTTATTACTTCAGCTATAAATATTGTCTCAATATGGTTCACATACAGCCATTTCAATCTAGGATATGAGAACATGACATTTTTTTTTCTTTTAGACTTGTACAGTTATATCTTGGCATTATATGTATCAGTTATATCTTGTAGACTTGTTTCAGTATAAATAGGGTGGTACTTTGTGTTGTATGTCTTCGAGAGGTGTGTCTTTTGCCATGGGGGGGTCCTCCTTTTATAGGAATGTGGGACTTTTTGTAATAATGGAGTTGATGGGATCGTTGTGGAGTAGTGGTTTCTTTGCACCCACTTGCTACCACTTGCTCATCTTTGTGTAGTATTGGCATACGTCACAGACACCCTAATAGAAATAGGGTGACGTACATTATTTGATAAAGGGAATGTGAATACAAACTATTGTTACAAGACCCTTCCCTTTTATTCAATTGAAAAAAAAATCATTTTTACTTTTGCTAAAACCAATTATTAATTTGGTTAATTAGTTTTTTGTAAAAAATCTAAAAAAATTATAATTTGTTATTGCAAAGTAGTTTTTATAATGTACTTTATTGATACATTAGTGAATAAAATAAAGTTAAAATAAGTACTCCGCATAAGGCTAATGTAGAAGCTTATATTGGCATATTATTACGCAGTACTTCGTATTATTTAAGAATGAAAGTAGTATATATCCCACATGAATCAATAAAGTATTGCACGAGAAAATGTGAATCCGCATTCGAGAACATATTAGAAAGAAATTATTCAATAATGTACTCTCATTTTCAAAAAATGAAAATGTAACACTTTTACAGACCAAATTTCTAAATTGGTAAAAAAAAAGGTCACTTGACGGATTGGTAAAAAATAACTACTCGAGACATATTGGTAAAAAAAGAAGCTCTAGTGATAAATTGGTCAATTTTTTATGCGTGATAAACTTTTGATCCTCAACTTTAGAATTCCCGGCATTTCATATTCTAAGTATTGTGAAATTGACATCTTCAGTCTTTTTACTTTGATTTTGTCATCAAAAGTGAATGTCTAAAAAATGTCAACGACCGTGTTTGATAATAGCAGTTGTCTGCTAGCTGTCAGTTGAATCAGCATGTTGATAATAGCGGATTCCGTCAGCTTTTATAATTAACCGCTTTCATTAGCGTTTGAATGTTAATAACTTAAATCTTTGTGATTAAATGTTAATACGTAAAATGACCATTAAAGATATGAATTTAAAAGTATATATATTTATCTTAACTTTATTTCTTTTATTTTTAATAAGTCTTTGAAAAGGTTTTAAAAATTATATTTACATTTATTTTTAATAAGCATGGAGTAGATAAAAAAACTAATAAATAGTCATATGAAGTTTATAGTGTTAGTAATTATTTAAAATAAACGTAAACATAATTTCCAAAACTTTTTCCAAGACTTATTGAAAATAAAAAAGAAATAAAATTAATTTAAATATATATATTTAAATTCATTTTTAATGGTCATTTTACGTCTGAAAAGCTAATTGCAAATTTTAAGCTAAGGGCACAAGGGTTTGCTCATACGGCAGGGTCGGATTGCGACGGACGAAGCGGCGGCCTAGCCTTGGGATGGAATGATGACGTTGATGTCACTATTATGGCGGAGTACTCCGATTATATCGACTGCCAAGTGAGTTTGATGGAGGGAGGATTAATGTGGACGCTTACATGTTATTATGCGTTCCCGAAGATGAGACGACGCCGAGAGGCTTGGGACATGCTGCGGCCTGCGGGGCTTAGCCGAGAATAATTCTCTTCCATGGATTGGAGACATGAATGATATTTTGTATGACTCGGAGAAGAAGGGAAGAATACCTCATCCAGGTTGGAGGATCTGTGGCTTTCTTTATGCAGTTTTTATTGAGTGGACTGCGGGATTTTCCTTTTGATGGCTATCAGTGGACTTGGGAGCAAGGGAAAGGCTCAATAAATTGGGTTGAAGAGAAGTTGGATTGAATTCTTGTCAACGAGCAATGGTGGGATAGTTTTATGGCGGCTCGGGCTACTTCAGTCGAGGACCCTATTAGCGACCATATGACTATTTAGGTTAAGATCGTTCCTACGATGCATGCAAGGACCCCAAAAAAGTTTCGTTTAGAAAACAGTTGGCTGAAAGAGGAGGAATGTTGCACCATTATGGCTAATAGTTGGAGGGCTCGTTCGGCAATGAATGTGAGTGACAAGATACTTTTTTGCGGGAAGGAGTTGTGACTGAAGAATTTTTGACACCATATTAGTGCTCATAAAAAAAGGCTTGCTTGGTTGAGGGGGCGAGATGATCCGAGGAGTACGGATGAATTCATTCAAATCCGTATGGTGCTACAAATTTTGTTGGAGAAAGATAATCAGTATTGGAGACAGAGGGCAAAGGAATTCTTACCGAAAGAAGGGGATATTAATTCTCGATTGTTTCATAATGCAGTTAAGGCCAGGCGAAGGAAAACTAAAATGGTGCGTTTGCACAGAGAGGATGGGTTGCAGATTACGGACAGTGGTGAGGTGGCAGATATGGTTCACAATTATTTTGCTAATTTATTTATTGAGCAGGAGTCACCGACAATGGCGGAGGAGATGGGACAGTTTCGAAGTGTTAGTAACGATCAAAACAGGAGACTGCTTCGTACTATCACACCGGAGGAGGTTAAGGCGACAATATTTGATATGCATCCAGAAAAAGCACTAGGCTCGGATGGCATGAATCCGGCATTTTTCAGAGGTATTGGGACATTGTTTTAATTCCAAAGAAGGAAAAGCCGGAAAAATTAAGAGACTGGAGACCAATAGCCTTATGTAATGTGATTTATAAAATTATCTCAAAGGTGTTGGCTAACAGGCTGAAGGGGATTTTGGGGTCTCTAATTGGGGAGAATCAAAGTGTTTTTATACCCGGAAGGTCTATTGTGGATGATATTATTCTAGCATTTGAGTCACAACATTTTTTGAAAAGGAAGAAATATGGGAAAGAAGGATTTGTGGCTTTGAAATTAGATATGAGCAGGGCGTATGATAGAGTTACCTGAGATTTTTTTGAAGAAAATTAAGATAAAGATGGATTTTGAGAGTAGATGGATTGAACTGATCATGCTTTGTGTTACCACTGCTAGCTATTATATTCAGTTCGATAAAGATTACTTGAATATGATTGTCCCGGGTAGGGGGCTCCGGCGGGGGGATCCATTATCCCCGTATCTGTTTATATTGGTGGCAGAGGGGTTGAGATTGATGTTAAGCAGAGCAACGGCAAGAGGGGACATCCACGGGGTGGCGGTCTATAGGGGAGCACCTAAAGTCACTCATTTATTTTTCGTTGATGATAGATTTTTATTTTTTAAAGCTAATAATAACGAGTGTGGGTAGGTGAAGAGTATTTTGCAGCTATGTGAACAGCTTTCAGGGCAAATGGTGAATTATGATAAGTCGTCCGTTTTGTTTAGCTCCAATATGGAGGACTCAGTCAGAACGGTTTGCATGTCTTTGCAAGGGGTGCTAAGTGTGGTGGAGCAAGGAAAATACCTCGGCTTACCAGTTATGATCGCCAGAAACAAATCAGCTATTTTGGGCTATATCCCGGATATAGTGTATAACATAATAAAAAGCTGGAATAATAAATTTCTATCTAAAGCGGGAAGGACAGTTCATTTAAAGAATGTTGTTCAGGCAATGCCTTCGTATGCAATGAACGTTTTCTTGTTACCAAAGGAACCTTGTGATGACATTGAGAAGCTTATGAATGGTTTTTGGAGTAGGAGGGATTCCAAACTTGATCAAAAGGGTTTGAGATGGAGAAGCCGGAAGAGCTTAAGAAGGCCGAAGGAGATGGGGGCTGGGATTTAGAACACTCAGAGAATTCGATCCGGCAATGCTGGCAAAGCAAGGGTGGCGGCTAATTAATGACGAGACTAGTATGATGAGCCATGTTCTGAAGGCAAGATATTATCCCAATTCTAATTTTTTTAGATGCTAATTCGGGTAGTAACCCCTCTTTTATTTGAAGGAGTATTTATGAGACTCAGGTTGTCCTAAAAGGAAATATTTGAAGGAGAGTATGGAATGGGGTGGACCTCCAAGTCTACGCCGATGCGTAGTTGTCGGGGGAGGGAACAAGAAGGGTCACGTCCCCTCGCCCGCAGGGGATTAGGGATATGAATGTTGCTGCTCTTAGATACATAACAGGAAAATTGTGGAACGGGGAAAAATAATGTCTCTTTTTAATTTGACGGATAGGAATAAAATTCTTAGTATTCCTATTAGTACTCAAGACAGGAAAGGTGACTTCTGGTGGAGTGGAGAAGTTAGCGGGGTTTTCTCGGTGAAGAGTTGTTATCGTGCTTTGGTAAGGGAGGTGCAAACCGATGGGTGGGAGGGGTGGAAGTTGTTGTGGGGTTTAGAGGTTCCTCCAAAATTTAAATATCTAGCATGGCAAATGTTGGATGGCTCTCTTCCCACTGTTGACAACTTAAGAAGGAAAGGGGTAGACATCCAAAATGGGTGCAAACTATGTGGA